TCTGCCAAGCCCCAGCCTGGCAGGTTCTGACGCAGAGGGAGACTCCTGTCCACGGCTTAGGCAGAGGAAGGCAGACTTTGCAAACCTTCGCAGATCTTCGCAGTGTGCCAACTTGCGGACTCAGGTGATGATCTCCTGCTCGAAGACTAACCTGGGACATTTGGAGGGCGGTGCAGGGATGTCTGCCTTCTGCAAGCTGCTGGGCTTCACAAGAGCGGTGTAGGATCCACCACGCCGCACAGGGAGATCGAAGAGTAAGAGTTCAATTCAGACCGTGTGCCGGCTTTGAGTCATGGGTGCACGGAGTGCGCGGAGCAATGCAGAAAGGCTACGACTGGACGCGGCTTGGGGGTGGCCTTCCGAGGTGTGTCCTGGCCTGCATGCACGCGGAAGTCGCGCCCAACCAGCACCTCCGCGTGCAGAATCCCAACATGGACACCGAAGGCCGGTACTCGGTGCCGACTCCGTGTCCCCCATTGTGCTCCAGCGCATGGGAAAACGCCATCGAAGGCTGGCCTGCACTTCTTCTGCAAGAGGGCCAAGCCCTGAAGGGCGAGGCTTCCTACGTCCGGGCCTCGGACCTCCTGTGCCGCCCTCTCCGTCCTCGCCGGGGGTTTCAGGTGGGCGTCAGCGGCTTCGGGTACGGCCCCGCCTGCGTGTCCTTGTGTATCCAGAGCCAGGATGATGAGTGAATAGGTCCTTCAGGCTCAAGGCAATTACCATGAGAGATCAGGGAGCATGTTGGGAAGCGCTGGCCAGGTGGCACCAACAGCCATGCGATGGCCTTCGGAAAGAATGCCGCAAGAACGCACGAAGTGATTCTGACCTATCAAGTTGGTGGCATTTGTTTGAGTGCTTATGCCTTCGGCAAGGAGGCTCCGAACACAGCCAGACCCCCAAGTTGAGCTAGTAAGGTAGTCACCTCCCGCGGTGGCAGGGCAAAGAACTCGGCAGGGCACCCGGACTGCTTTCTACTCGGTGTGAAGCACAAGTAGCTTTCAAGTCATCGATACTGTTTATTGCAGTAAGGCGCATCAGCTCTAGCCTACTAGGGCATCTCAGGGTGCTTGACCCTCTGACCTCTGTGACATGAGCTGTCGAGTCTATCGGACGGATGAATTCAGAATTTTCAAGGGGCACGGACATACAGTCTTGAGGAAATCGACGCAGCTGTTGCTTTGTCTACACGTCAACTAGAAAGGAGAGGTTCATGCATCAGGTCAGCTCCCGGCTTGTCTTGCATGACGAGGTTTGCGCGGCAGGACGAGATTAGCCGCCCCAGCCGGAAGCCTCTGCCGTCCGCCCAGGCCGACGCCCTCATCCGCCAGGTGCGCAGTGCGCCTCCGGAGATTGCCATGGCACTTCGGCAGAGATGCGAGGAGATGCGGGGGGTATTTGGGGCCGACGCCCGACTTCTTTCGTGGGCTTGGGCAGATGTCATAGGCAACTAGTCGTCTGCACTCCCGGATGGTCGTACGTGCGGAACCCAACACCCCCTGCCCCTGCCGTCAGACATGTTGGCATCGTAAACAGTCTCAAGAACAGTTGCCTGACGGGAAGGTTCTGAGAAATCTCGGAGTGTGCCCAGGTCGGCGACAATTTCGAAGACTGGCAGAGCAACGGGGTGCCGCATCTCTCGATGAAGCCTGGGCAGTCCTTCCAGGACCGTGGGGATTTCTGCCAGAAACCGAAAGCAGGGCATCTAAATAGAGCTCTGGCATGTAGCAGAGCTGCATGGGGTTGCAGGCTGGACACGAATTTGAAGAGATTTGTGCCTGTAATGTGTTAGATACAGGGCAGCTTAGGCACTGCATTTCCCGACCCTCTGATGCAGGTTGACGTCATGGAGGGTGGCCGAAGCTTGGAGCCAGACGTGTCGCTCGAGGCTCTCAGGCTTTGCACCGGTGTCCGATCCGAGGAACCTTCTGGTCTGCAGTGCCCTCATCGAAGCCCAGATCTGTGAAGAGCTTGTCCATCCAAGGGTCCTTCAACGGCTGCTTGACCGCAAGCACCTTGCAGTCGAGCACATGACGCGAGCCCCAGATGCGGAGGTTGGACGGCAGAGAGCATGGTGGCCAGGCTCGGCGGTCGGGCGACGTGTCTGCGCCAAGCGCTTCTCTCGAAGCGTCTCTCTGTGAGGGAGACGCGTGTGGGCTTGTACGAGTTCGAGCTGAGCCTGGGAGCTTCTGGCAGCGAGAGCTTCCAGGTCTGGGTCTCGCCGAATTGAAGTCAACAAAGCAGGATTCTGCACACGCTAGCCCGCAATCCGCCAATGGCAATCATCAATCGACGATGACATCAAGCAACTGATCAAGCAAGTAGAGACCTGCTGATTCGTGTTCTCGTTGCTTGATGCGTAGCAATTTGTTCTCCGATCCACCCTCTTATGTGTCGAGTCTTTGTCCGATGATTGTTGTTGGCAAGCGAGTGAATGATATCGAAGGATCTGTTGGTTGTTTGGGGTCCCGATTCGAGTCGTAGTGAGGAATCGTTGGAGCGGTGCTGCTTGCATCCGAGATGCGCCACTGCTCCCGTGCTCTGCCCGCTCTGCCCAGGTCTTGGTGGATGGGCTCACGTCCCAGGCGTTCCGAGAGCGAGCGATGGGGCTGGGTTGGACCATTTTAAGAGAGAGCGCTGAGCGCTGAAAAATGTCTGACATCTCCCGGTTCATTTTCGTGCTCTGCGCTCCTTCATGGGGCGAAGGTGTTGCATCCTGCCGAGCCTCACTGCACCTCGCGTGTGGCGCCCGTCCGCGGCCCGCGTCACGACGCTGGCCGTGAGCTGGCGTGGATGATCCAGGTTCGGAGTTCTTGGGTGTGGGCTGGTGATCAAGTGTGGATTGTCGAAGGAGGTACCTAGGCAGCGTAGCCTTCACCCAAATCTGCAGACCCGACTTGGGCAGGGCGCGCAGAGGCAGGCCCCTCAGAACATATGATGGTGAGCACGAGGGACAGACCAAGCCGAGCTTGCTCGGCTCCCCTGCGAAGCAGGCTTGTCCATAATGATGTTTTATGCAGCCTAGTCGCAGCGTGGGCCGAGGGATCGCTTCTTGATCGAAGTCTTCCTACCCCCTGGAGAAGTACAGTCCATGTCTGCCTCGCGACAGCAAGGATTCTTGAGAGTCCTCCAGACATGCTCTTGCGGACCTGCGTGCTGAGATGTGCTGAGGTAACTTGGTTTAAGCTGCGCGACATTGCACCTCTTCCACCGCTGCAGACGCCGCCGGCAACTGTGTCTGGCATTTAAGTTTGTCTTTCCCGGAGATGTAGACTTCCTACAACAGCATCGGCAGTTTTTGTGGATGGCATGTCAAGTTCACCCCAAGGCTCCGGCCCCTCAGCCGATGGTGCTGGACGAGCTGGGCATCGAAGAATGAGACAAACATGCTGCGCTCGAGAGCAGTGGATCTTATGCACTCTTGTCGGCCGATCACTCATCAGATGGTTCGCAGTAGTCAGCGCGACCTTCTGACACTTGACACTGCACACTGCTTGTGTTGCCTTTGGGGTAGCGGTGCTGCGCAAGGGAGCCCGGAGTCCAAGAGGAACCATTGCCGTGCCGAGCCTGGGCAGGCTGCCTCCTGTACACTACGCTTCAAAGTGCTGCTCGAGCTGCTCCAGGGATCGAAGGAGGTCGGTTTCTGACCATCGCTATGAACGGAATGGACAGACTGCGTATTGATGTTCAGAGTGGTACCAGGCTGGCAGAGTAATCGGCAGATGTTAGGGGCAGTCTCTGGCAGCATCTGACTTCCTGCTCACACATGTTAACCCGCAGGTACACCCGAAATCCATCGACGCTGATCGCTGAGCAGTGCGTTTCACTTGTGCCCCTAGAGCCTCACAGGCCGTCACAGGACACATCTGACCGACACATCCTTTCCATACGTATCCGGTATTGTATAATGTCTTACGATGCGAGCCTCTTGCTACAGATCCGGTTTGAGCACCTACAGAGCGGGCCTTCGTGGCGTCAGCTGCTTTGTCAAAGACAATGCAGATGCGACCGACCCAGAGCCTCAAATGATGGAGTCATCACAGCTCAGAGCAATCAGGGGTTGTCCTGTCGAGGGGCAAGTGTTAATCTAACTCTAATTCATGCTTACCAGCAGTGCATGTCTGCGGGAGCAGTCGTGCCTCCCGGTGGCAAGTCTGGTGAGACTGGAGCTCAACAGTCAGACTCTGCAGTCGAACGCAATAAGAGTGCAGGGACAGCGGTGCGAGTTGCCATGCCGAGAAGAAATGGTTCACATCAAGGGGCGCAGCACCCCAAGCGGTTGATGAGCCAGCACAGGAGAAGCTGAAGAAGCTCTGCTCCGGCTTTGAGCTTCAGATCGTCAAGTGCAAGGTCGCTCCCTGTAACAGAGCAGTTGCCCAGAAGCTTCAGCTTGCACAGTTGCCCGATCATGTGCACGAGAGACTTGTGCCGCTGAATTCCAGCTTGCTTGGCCCACAGGCCGACACGGATCCTGTTCGCAACCTATGCAAAGGCACGGAAGTGAACCTGTGTGGGACCTTTGCTCACTCCCGGCCTTGTGCGCAGGCCGTGCGAAGGTCATGGTGCGCTACAACCCCGGCCGAGACGGTGCCGCAGCTGGGCTGCCCCGTTGTTTCCTCCGGAGCATGTGGAGACGGCTGCACGCCCCCGTTCCCCTCCAATTGCCGATTTCCGACTATTCACTTGCACTGTTTCTGGCTGTTGTGTAGCAGGGTAGCTGCAGCTTTACGAAGGAATACCAGCCGACGGCTCCACAGTGTCACTCACTTTCCACAGTCATTTATTCAGCAACCCAAGGTAAAAGTTGTGCATAGTTGTGCCTGGATGCCGAGGAACTGGAAGCCCTTGTTCAACATCTGGAGGCTGCCAGCCCCTTTGGAGGATGACTGCGTCGGGGCTTGGGATCAGAAGCAACTAGACTGGCGTGACAGGCTGCATCGCTGACGGTCGAGACCTGATGACACTGCGGAGTTTATGCTAGCATCCTTTTCTTGGGCCTTTTCGGGAGCTCTGCCATGACTACCCTTGTGGTTTCCTGTGGCTGCTCTTGGGCCCGAGAAATACCCCCTACGCCCTCTTCGGCGTGGCCGGATAGTGCTAATGACTGCATCACACTGCTTGAGATGGCACTCATTAAACTTTAAAGCTGTAGACGTGCAACGACACACTACTCTTTGCCTCTCCCGGATGTCGTGCAGAAGAAGTGCCTGGCTCGAGTGCGTGTCGGATAGTTGTCGCTGATGTTTCCGAACCTTCCGCAATGGATGTGTGGGAGATGGGGCCCAGAGATGATCGGAGGTTGCAACAGCTTTCGCAGAATGTCGTTTGTAACGAGCATCGGCTCTGTCGTCGTGGATACCCTTATTCGGTTTCAATTCTTACTCGCCAAACTCCTGGCGTTCCACGCAGCTTTCGGGGTGAGAGCTCTGCACGGTGCCAGGTGTCTAAAAAAGGGCTCCAGAGTATTCCGGGGCGATCATGTGAAGTAAGTTGACGGGGCTAAACAACAGCCTCGTCCATGCCAGCCGAAGACTTGCAGAGAATAGCTGCTTTGGTAGATGTCCTCGGCCCAAAAATGATGTGCGGCAGCCAATCATTGTGCACAGCTCTGTTCTCAAAATGAAGTTCTAAAGGCTTTGCTGCATCACAACCGTGCTCCACAAGCCTTTAAGCACAAAGCGGGGCTGTCGCTATGGCCGTGGTCGCCGTGGCCAAAACAGCTACCCCACAGTACTTCCGCGAGGGTGAGCACGTCTCTTGGCGAAGAAAAAACCCAAGTGTCAAAAGAGAGCCGAGCTCTGACCTGGCCAAGAAAGAATCCAAGGAGCACTTCGCATGGGACTGCAGCTCCGTTCCCAGAAGGATTGCTGATTTGGGACACTTCTTCCATCGCCATCTGAAAGATGAGGACTGCAGCGCATTGCACAATACTGCCTTCTCAGACCTGCGGCTCTCGAAGCTTCGTTGTTTTTTCGCACGGTCTGCTCGAGGAAGTACACGAAGACTGCATCCGCGCCATGCAGACCTTGGTCAAAGTTCCTGCGGTCGCTCTGATGCTACCAATGCCCCTCAACGATGATGCAAAAGAGGCACTACGCGACATCAAGCAAGCAGGCGACCGAATGTGCTGTGCTCTTGCAGCTGCGTAAATCTAGATCCAGGTGCAGGGTTGGTTCTGTGGCATTGTTGCAGGCTTTGAGTATAGCATGAGGATGGGCCATGGATGGTAGACGATTGAGCTGCTGACTGATAATCCGAATCTCCCCTCCTGGCAGTTTGCCCGAGACCTAAGCAAGAGAGGAAGCTGCACGTTGCTTCGATGCTCCAGGCATTGAGATCGTAATCTCGGCCGAGACGAGCTTTTGGGAGAGCCCCAGAATGCTGTACATCCTCAAAGTAGAGCCGGTGCCGCCTCCCATGTTTGCAAGGGAAATAGATGGTGCAACAGCGTGATGTCGCGGCAGGTCGAGACCAAAAGTCCAGTCGGACAACTACAGAAGTTTCTGGAGGCAAATGCTCTGCCGCGCTCGACTGGTTGAACGGCAGCTTTCGGATTGCTAAGACCCGACGGACAGGTAGTGGCTGAAGCCACGCTGCCTGCGAAGCCTTCTGATGGACCATGGCTTTGGTCCTTGCATGAGCCTGCCGCTTTGCTGAACAAGAGATGGCAAAGCTTAAGCTTGCTCCATCATCTGCTGCTCTCCAAGCTTGTGTATTAGTGCGCGCACACACACACACACACTCATATCATACAATACACATACAATAGACATATAATATATATATATACACACACACACACCATACATACATACATACATACATACATGACATGACATGACATGACATGACATGACATGACATGACATGACATGACATGACATGACATGACATGACATGACATGACATGCATGCATGCATGCATGCATACATACATACAGACTCTGCGGATCCTCGCCACGTGCCACTGGATCCTGATAGAATCATCGCGCACGATTGACTGTGGCCTTATAGTCGCACAAGAGGATGCAGGAGATCAGAAAACAGAGGGAAGATCATGGCCTAACGCATGTTCTGCCACTTGCGACGTCTGGTGTGAAAAAGTCAAGAATTGCAAACCGGTACCACCTGAAGCTGCCAGTTGGCAGAGAACCCCATCTCTCTTGCAGGGAGTAACTCCGCTGCACTCAGTCTCGATCATCCGATCTCCAGGATGTCGCTGCGGCCCTTCTGGTTTGCGAGGCCGGTGTGGCTGCGCGTGTTTTCGAGTTCTGCCAGTTTAGAGCCGCATGTAGTCTTCTGGCCGCTTTTGCCAGTGGTTTGCAGGCAATGGGCGATTCGGAGAAGCGCCTTCGTGGCAGTAGCTTTCGGAACATGATGCAGAACTCACCGATGTCTGAGGCTTGCAACTGCTCAGGCAGACTCTGTCTTGAATCCCAAGCCAAAACGGAACTGTTGAGTAAGTAACCCGAGCACTGACTCAGATCGCCTAGCCTGTCATATTCTCGGCCACTCAGTTGCTTCTGGCGGCTACTTCGCAACATGCGCATCCTCACGCCCGTCTGTTCGCTGGAGCAGCAGCGGCATGTCAAGGAGCAGTATGCTCCATCGACCACCTATGTTTTGGCATGGATGAATCAGTACACGCAAGGCATTTGGCCACTGCTTGTTTTGACCGTACCTTTCGCCATATTCGTGGAAGAAGATCGACTAAACGAAGCCAGCTGGGAGTTCTACGCGCTCCAGGCAGGGCCAAAGGACTTCCGGTCCGAATTGCACCATTCGCATTGCCTGCCACAGCGAAATGTTTCTCAAGTAAGAGCCCGTCACTACATGAACCAAGCATAGTCAAACCGTAAATTTGGCAATTTTTGAGAGTGTGCCCACCCTCCGACACGAGGCAGTGGTCATCCTCTGGGCGATTGTCATGATTGGCCGATCCCGACATCGCTCTTCCTTCGTCATGTCCTACGAGGCCGGAGAAAGCAAAACCTGGGCCGCAGATTTCAACAAGGTGAAAATCACGCAGCTCGGCCGCAAGTGAAGAAAATTCTTGGTGGGCTTCGATTGCGTCGAAGGCAAGGGTGTGACAACGTGATAGATGTGATAGCTCCAAGCCGTGATTCTGTGGGTCAAATCTTCCCTGAGTCTTCAGAGCAACAGAAACTGGAGGTTGGAAAGCAGGCTACTCGTAGTTGATGCTATGATTGTCGACGCCCTCACAGCTGAAGTGATGAAACAATAGTGATGACTACCATCACACTTATGTGCATGATGAACGAGTCTCGTTCGTGGGGTTGATCGCCCCAGACTCTCGACTTCAACGTGCTCTGAGGAAGCGGCAGATCCTGCGGAGAATCATGTCTCAGACCGGTGCCGGCAGTGAATTCGCCGCCATGTTAAATCTGAGCCTCGGCAGAGTTGCAGTTTCGCGGCGTGCTCTTCAGACTTCCGTGAAAGCTCGCAAGCTTCGATACCTTGCAAGGACCCAAAACCCGGACCACCACAAGATGGTTCACCACAGGCTTTGGGTGGCATGGTGCTTGCTCCTTTCAGGCCTGGCCCCCACACATGATGCCCAAAGCACACACACAGAGGGAGGGAGTTGCCAACAAATCTGAGGCCTGGGATGCCTCATCTGCCTGGTGCTTGCCGGGCTCTTCCTTCTGTTTACCATGGAGTTGAAATTCATACTGCTTCATGACAGCAATCAAGGTTCTTCCCTGAATATCCCACCTTCTCTGTGGGCTTCTGACTTTGCAGTTGTGACTAGTTACGATTGTTACCTGGTGAGTCGAAGGCCGCCCTGCGGACTCTCGAAGTTATATGGGGCGTGCTTAGAGGGTTTGCGGAGCAGTGAGATGTGGGCTTCCGTGATTGTTGCTTCAGCACCGCGTGATGCTGAGAGTCAAGAAGTTTGACCCGTCGACCAAGGATTTATGAATGGGGCGACTGCTACCATTTGGAATGCCACGATCCGGCAATAAAGCATGGATTTTCCGGCGTACTGTCCATGATCGGGTGCGACATATTGCTGGCATTGACACTCAACGTGGCTACCGGCGAGCTTTGCAAAGCATTTGCTTATCGCATTGCCAAGTGCCTCGACTATAAGTATAAATTGATGCTTCCATCGCCCGCAAAACATTTCTTCGCCTGCAACCACAGCTTGGCAGGACGTGGAACTTCCGCAGCATGATCTTGCGACAGTTTGTGGAGCACTTCACCGCCATTACCATCGACATTGTGGCCACGATTGGAATGTTTTCTTATCTTGCCTTCGCCTTCCTACCCGAGTGGGAGACGACAACGCCCACAGACTGGTGGGATTCCTCCGGTTGCGACCTCTTTTGGGACTTCCAGGCCGCTAATCTGCCATTCACAGCCTGCTAGAAGCACCCGCACGCACAAGCGGAGAGGCAGGCATGTAGACAGGTAGACAGTAGATAGGTATATTGATAGACACTTAGATAAGTCGGGGGGGGGGGGGGGG